TGTGATTTTTAATACGGAAGCGAAACATGTGACAATTGAGTCACAACAGCAGCAAATTTCACATTCATAGATTGTAGGAATGTTGCTAGGACATACAACTTATGCATACCATCCCTAAATTGTCCAAGTTTTGTAATGTTAGCATACGTACTTGATGAGATTTGACAGTATCTTCCAAAAAATGTGTATTACTCAAAATGCAACTTGATCACACTACTGTCAATGAATGTGTAGGCGAAATTATCAAAAACCTTACATAGTTGGAGATCCTATAGAGTGGTGAACATGTATAAATTTTTGGACTTTTGCGATACTGTGGGGGCACACAATAAGAGATGTTTCGCTTCCATCTCTGTTTCGGTTCCCATTTAGCGACTGTATATCATTCTGGTGTAAAACAAAGCATATATGTAAAGTGTAAAGCTATATAATATATATAATTATATGTATTGCGGTTGTCACTATCAATAAAAGTCACTCCAGAGGGCAGGCAGGACCCCTGAAAGTACCGCCAAGAGGTCTGATACCAATTTTCCGGGTTTGGCGAAGTTTTGTCCGGACTCTTAAAATATTCCCACGTTTTCTGATACCAGATTTGCACGTTTCAGGTTCTCTGGAAGCAAAATGGTCAAAATTGTTCCTCAAAATCTGAAAATTTTGTCCGGATTACAGTATCTTACCTCATAAAGCATTATCAGGGGTCCTGGGCAGGCAACGGGGGATAGCAGGTAGCGGGTGTGAGGGCAGCGATTCCTATTGTCCTGTCAGAATTAGAATATAATTCATACTTGGATCATCACAGTATTATATCTGAAACAATTGCTAATGCCAAATTCAACTTCAGAGTGACTCCAAGAAAACTAGATTAGTGCTTGAAATATATTATATAGCCCATACAACTTGGGGTCCACTAACACAAGTGATGAATACTTAGTTCACTGAATATTTGTATTTGACCAGGTCATGCACCATCAAACAAAAACAAGTACATAGGACAAATCATATTCTTCGCTTGCGTTAGTGGACCCCCTTCGCCAAATACAAGCAGGCACTATCACAACAAAAGTGAGTTTAATAGAACCTCACAACATAGCAAAATTAGCTTCAATCAGCTCTGAAAATCACAAAATCGGCCTGCGCAAGCGCAGTAGTAGATATGTCCACCTAGTGGATGTATCCACCATATATGTGACGTGACACACAGTGGATATACCCACCAAGGTGGAGATATCCTCCATGGTGGAGACATCTCCACTTTCTAGACCCTTGTAGGGGGGGGGACCTCTGCTTTTGTTACAGGCCTTATAAGGTGTAGTTTGAGGTAGACTGAGGTGGTGTGGGTGATCAAGCCAGTACAGATAAACCGAACTGGTAATCAAGTCAGCACAGCCGCTCACATTCCAGCATGAATGCAAAGTTTATGATCACAGCGTGGACAACTGCAAACCAATCTGTTCATTTATTTCCGCCCATGAAGAAAGTGGTAGCATAGTACAGCAGATCTAATAGGAATACGAATCACCCTCAGGCCCGCAAAGTAGTAGGGAAAGGCTTGTGGTCTCGAAGCCTACGTCGGAAGATCCGCATGAACCTACAAGAAAATATAAATAATGTCATTAACATCACTGGCAGGGATGAAACATATATTAAACCAACACACTTTACCAGGGCATCGCAAGCTTTCATTGGGCTGACAGCTTTCAAAAACGGCGTCTTCTTGCCCAGGGCAATAGCAATGATTTCTCCCCTCCACGGAGGCAGTTTGGTGCTCGCACAGAGGTCACGGAGTGCACCGTTAACAGGTGCCGACAGAGAATAAAGTGCCCTGACCCAAAATCTATGGGTACTAATCTTGACGACACAATCATGGGTTTCCAGGGGAGTATCCAGATTTTCATCGGGAAGCCTGAAGGCTTTGTGGAACTGGACATAGGGCAGCTGGGTGATTCGCCGAGGGACGTCGGCGAGAGCCGCATTGCCAGATAGGATCCAATTAGGATTGTCGTGGGCCTTACGGAGGGCCTGGGCGGTGTGGAGTGTAACGTTGCGCGCACTTAGGGTGTCCAGTGCGTAGTTTCGGGCAAACACAGAACCGAGCTGTCCGGATCTGATGTTCATTCAACCCGATCGCGACTCCAAGTAAACTTGTCCTCACCATAATGGTGTCAGTACGCAAGGGTTTGTTTTGGAAGCGGGGCATGACAGAGTACTAGTCTGTGTATACGCGCTCGCCTATCATCTTATAAATCTGAGAACATCCCTAAAAGGAACACCCGGATTTGGATTAGCATGTGCCAGTTCGCGAGGGGACGACTGCAACGAGGTGACATGGTCCTATAAATGCCGTACATATACATTGTCATTATAATTATCGGCCCGGCCAGATCGTAATATGTGCAGTTGTTTTTTATCATTATATCGGCACATATACAAGGTCCCATGCGGGAACAGCCAATGGCGAACCCAAACTTTCCAACTGGCGAATTATATCCACTTACAGGTGCCTCTATTGCGTCGTTGAAAAAACTGGTCCAATGCCCTCGCCTTCGGTCTCTCGTTCATCCTCAGTGTGACAGTACCAAATGACTGGCATCGCCACACCTTGGCATATATATAGACGAACCGCGCCATGGGTGCAACAACTGGATCAGCTAATTGCGTAAGACAATGCTTGCCTGGAAAACACACAAGTTACGAAAATTATAATTAAAATGAAATTGAGTGAATACCCATTTTATAATCCTGCAGGTGTCCGAATGGTGTCAAAGTGTGCACTAAATCTTCTGCCTAAAACAATCATGACCAATGCTATGAGATCTACGCTTCATCCAAGTTCCCCATCTCCCCAGTGGTACTCTCTCCAAATCCAAAGACTGCCTGCCTCGCTGGCTCCAGTTCAGACCAACTAGGCAGGTGAAAGAAAGACGGAAGATTGTTCCAACACTCCTGGAGGAAGTCGTCGTGCCTCGTTTTGGATGCATGGTGACAAGGAACACAGAAGGCCCCCGGCTCGTCCTCATCCTGTGTAGAGTTCTCATCCTCCAGATATACTTGTTCCCAGATGTCCCCTCTAAATGAGTCTAAAGGCGCGACATCCAAAGGTACCTCAACAGCGCCCAACACGAGCGACCACAACCCTTGTCGCACCTTTTCACACCACCTGCTATCCACGCAGTCCTCCTCGAGATTAAAATACTTGAGAAAGCTAAACGCCGCCACGTTATTGGCAATGAGATCCCGGCATGCCAATAAACATAAGCGGGAGTGGTGCTCATCTTCCGCGCTGGTCATTGAGAGCAGATCTGTCTGTCGGATATGGTAACAGGCATAGTAGTACGCCATGGGAAGGAGCCAAGCAGCCCCGACCGTCGTGCACACTTTGATGATGGTAAAAATCTCCTGAGCATTGGGCTTTGCGGATGAGCCTATGAAGGTAATGCTCCAGGGTTCCTCAATGCCTTCGGAGGCCCGATAAGCCTCGATGGAAGGGAAGTAGAGTCGCCAGGAAAGATGTTCCAAAGCACGGCGATAGAGATATCCAACTTCGTATTTGTGGGAAAGACGGAGAACCCCAACAACTTCTTGGAGTTGCACAGGTTCCGGGGGAGGCATGAAGAAGCTTAAGTACAATTAGCGATGTGAGACAAATTGAGTTTAATTGACACAATACCACGTACCTTGAATCAAAGATTGCTCTTAGAAATACTTCGACATCTTTGGCAGAGTCGGACAAAGTTACAACAGGGATCCCGTCGATAAGCTCCATCTCGCCGTCCGGAACCGGGGGAAATGATAGCATATCCTTGAATATGGTGGATCGCGCAGCCAAAAGACACTTTGAGATACGAAAGAGTTTTTCTTCGGCTTTAATTACGAGGCTGCTGTCCTCGAACCACAAATCATCGACGCGGGTAGACATAGAATTGTGGTTGTAGGGAACAAGGGTCGCAGATGGAGGTATATGAAGAAATCGACACAAAGAAGCGGGAAGACCTTACCGGCGGTCCGGAAACAGTGATTAGATAGTCAGATATGATGGCACTGTACATGTATAATTGTAATATGGGATCTAGATCTCTAGTACCGTGACAGACGTAGTTCTGCACCGCTGAACTCAGCCCCTTTAATGCCATCCCATACCAGTCTCCCTGGCTAACAATGCATCCCTATCTCAGCCTTCAGGTTCTCGATGGCTGTGTTGAGATCTAGAGTCCTTGCAGCTCTCAAGAGCTTCGCTCGGCACTACTGACGAGGTCAGCATTGAGGAGGTGACCCTGTAGAACCATTATAATGTGGCCTGCAATTGCCACAGGTGCACGTTAGAATGCGCCCTATACCTTGCCAGGCCCAGTGTGCATTACAATGTGCACCTGTTTGTGGCAGGCACTCGGCACCGTCCCCATCACCCAAATCAGGCTGGATTGCATCCCGGAGTGATCCGGCATTGCGGCAAGCCACCTCCTTCCTAATAGGGTACAGAAATATAGAAATACAGAGGAATAAAAACAAGTGCCACCTATGGGATTTGAACCCATAACCTCTGGAGAACCCAGATCAAATTATTATCTGTATATATTCCACTACACCATCTGGGCATTGATACCAAATGAATTATTTATCATTATATAACACCGCTAATATTACTTAATTATAATTTAAGATACCCCCCAGCTAGGGTAAGGTGCCCTTACCCTACCTGGGGACAACAAAGACCTAGGGCAGGCAAGCCTGCCCTAGGTCTTTGTTGATACCCTAACCAACCTAACCAAAAAACCCCTAACCAACCTAACCAGTAAAAAAAAACCTAACCAACCTAACTAAAAGAACCCTAACCAGCCTAACCAAGCAGACAAATAATATCCTTGGCTAACCTCTAACCTCTAACCCTTAACTTTAATCCCTAACCAACCAACCTAACCAAGGCCCCTAAGGCGGGGCCAGCCAGTGTGGTAAGATGGATGGTAGTGGATATATTCCAATCAATTTTCCTCTTACATATTGCCATTGTGGCTCAGTTGGATAATGCTCTAGTCACAGATCATGTGATCTTTGCCAGGGGCCATGAGTTCAATTCTCCTTAGTGCCACTTTTTTTTACTCTCTCCTGGGAGTAAGTGGTGTAGTGACAAACAGATAAATGGTACGTAAATATAATAATATTCACATGCCGAGGGTGCCGAGGCCCTCACAACGGGCTGCTGTACCCTATTAGGAAGGAGGTGATTTGCCGTACTATGGCAGAGGGGTGCGCATTGTAATGCACACTGGGCCTGGCAAGGCATAGGGCGCATTCTAACGTGCACCTGTGGCAATTCCAGGCCACATTATAATGGTCCCACACGGAGTGGTGCATTGAGCGCGAGCTTGTTCTCCATGCCGAGTCACGCAGAGCAACTTTCGTGTCCAACAGCTGAGTAGGTTGAGATTCGTCGCGGCTTTGCTCGGCGCTGCCGACGACGTCGGTATGCGCCCAGTGAGCGCAAAAGAAATTGTGTTCTTTGAACAATATTACTCTACTGTCCTTAAACATAAGGGGCACGGAAGTATTTCCGGAGCTCGGATATCGAACGGATATCGAACGGATTCTTAAAATATCCAATTGATATCCGAGCAGCGGATATCAAGCGGATAGTCAAGATATCCGCTGAGCGGATATCAAGCGGAAATCAAACAGATATCTCAAGGGATCTTGATCTGATTTGTGATTGGGATCCTAAGGATTCACCTGTGACCAACGTCAATTCTCCCGGCTGCCCATGCACCACTGTCAAAGTAAAAAAACCTCCAACCGCGCGATGTTCCCCTCCTTCACGACGCCGGTCTGCATTTGCGGGAATGTGTAAGGGCAACTCTGGACATCTCACACAAGGCGGCTGGGCAGAGGGGAATCCTTAGAGCTAGCTACGACAAGACGGAGGGTATCTACTCACCTGGGCAGAGGGGAATCCTTAGAGAACGAGGTAAGGAATCCCCGTGCCCAGGTGTCACTATATACCCGGAGCGTAACTAGGGTAGCTGATGTGTCAGGTACGCGGACATGACAGAGATCAGCTGATCCGTGTGTGGGCGTCACGGATCAGCGAGTGAAACACACCCCATCAAGGAACAGCAAGCGGTAAGGTGCATACCCGAGGGAAGCGGTCCGGGGGTACAAGGCATGTGAGGCCGAGGCCCAAGGGGTTCGAGATCCGGAGGTCGAGCCTCAAAGGCCGAAAGGCCGGCCAGAGTTCCGGAGGATCAGGGTGAAGGCCAACGACTCTGGAAACACTGCATAGGGGCAACCTCGGGGGTTTGGGTCAACGTCTGGAGGGTTCGGAGCTGCGAGGCTGTGAAACTCCGAAGCGCCGAAGCTCCGAAACGCCGAAACGCCGAAACGCCGAAACGCCGAAGCTCCGAAGTGCTGAAGCTCCGAAATGTTGAGACGTTGAGGCGCCGCAGATTCTGGGACGGCAAGAAGCTACGAAACAGCGAAACTCCGAAACGCTGAAACGCCGAAGCTCCGAAACGCCGAGGCATCGTAACGCCGAGACACCACGGGCCCCGGAGGTTCATCAGTGGCTGTGAACCGCCGAAATCGCCGAGGCTTCGGAGCGCTGCAGCGTCAAAGCACGAGAACACTAGAAACCCCCGGAACGCCGAAGCGCTGAGGGCTTCGGAGGTTGTCCGGCTGTGGCTGTGAACCTCCGAATCGCCGAAATCGCCGAGGGGAATCGCCGAACGCCGAGATCGCCGAAGCTCCGAGCGCAGAGGTCCCGAGACTCTGAAACTGGCCAGAAACACCGAGAAACCCCGAGGTGCCTTCGGGGTCGTGTGGCTGGGTTTGGGGGTCGAGGTTGAGGGCCCGGGACTCCAAGAGCTAGCTCCGAGAGCCGGCGGCAACAGCCCCTAGGAAGCCGGGGAGCTGGGGGGCTTGAGCGCTAGGTTGGAAGGGCTGATGCAGCTGGGCGAGAGGTTCCGGAGGTGGTTCGGTGGTGGCTGCAAACCTCCGAACCTCCGAACCTCCGAATCGCCGAACCGCCGGGGGGCCTTCGGCGCATGACCCGGAGTACGCAAACCTGGCTAACAGCTCACCGGAGCGGGGCCAGCAGCCAGGGGAGGAGGTGAACCTGGGCGGGGTCAGACGCAAAGGGTTATACGTACTGAGCCTGCCCGCGGACTGGCCTGTATGGCCACAGGTGTCATCCGAGAGGGACAGAGAGTGGTAAACTCTCTGGAGAGGGTTTGATCCATTAAGACCATGGCGAGGCGGAGGCGGGGGCGGGGATGAGAGAGAGCAGGCCGAGGTCGAAGCTTCCATGGTTCCTTCGGAGATTGTTCGGTGGTGGCTGCGAACCGCCGAACCGCCGAATCGCCGAATCGCCGAAGCGCCGGATCGCCGAGTCGCCGAGACACCGGATCGCCGAATCGCCGAGACACTGGATCTCCGAATCACCGGACATCTAAGTCGCCGAACCTATGAAGCTCCGAAGGTGGTGCGGAGAGCTCCAGAGGTTGTGAGGCCGATCGTGGATGTTGGTGAGTGACATCCGGAGATTGACAGGCTCGGAGAAAGGGCTTCGGAGGTTGGTAGCTACCCGGAGGTACTGGGATGCGTACGGAGGTACTGGGAGGAATGTGGGGGCATCGGGAGGCATGCGGACTGGGGGTACGGGGTGTCTGCAGGCTGTGGGCTGTGCAGAGCAAGCACGTAAAGGGGGGGTTCCCCTTACAGAATGCTACCATGCAGACCGCGTGCCTCAAGTTCATCTGTCATATAACAACGTGGTTCTCAACCAGGGAGCCTATTGCCAAAGTCTGCAGTTTATATCTCACTGGACACTCAGTGGAGCAACGCCAGGGGCGATATTCCGTACTCGTTGTACTCCACGTGGTCTTCAGGCTACAACCTGAAGTCTACAGCACTGATACCTCTTCTAGATCTTCCACGCGCTCCCTTGGCCAGCGCTAGTGGCGCCTACCCTCTTTGTTTTGCAGCAGGTCGCAGACGCAGGTCCAACGACAGGCGCCCCGTGTGCAAATCACAGATATTTCGTGATTCATGCAGGGGCAGTGGACGAGTGGACGCCTGTGTTGAGTCTCTTTGTTGTAAGTACAATAATTACTGACGGTAGAACGCAGGCATCTCTCAGCAACCGCAGCGTTCCACTCGATCGGAAACCTCATCGACTCGCTCCGTGCAGCTGCCGCTGTGGCGTGCACATACCGCCTACCCGCATAGTCCCAGTCCTCGTCTTCTCAGTCAGTCGTCCTCCGCGTACATTCCCCGTCGTACTCACAGATGCCGTCGCCAGCACACGACTATCGACCTGCCGGACAGCAGGGTGGGCCCACACGCGCTGCTCGTCAGGGCGGCGATGCGCCTGCACGCGATGCTCATGTACGCGGACGCCGGCTCGCGAGCACGCTCGGTGCGTCCAGAGCGTGATGGACATGCTGCGCGCTGCGGGGAGGTCAGCCCGACCATTGGGGTGGGCCGTGGAGCGCATCACTGACTTTTTTTTTCGCAAACCTGTTGACGCGCTCCCTGTTGATGAGCGCTTACAGTTGCTCGTCACAACATATGAAGGTCAGCCCGTCTTTTTCCTCTGCTTTCGTCTTACCCTGACGTACCGTACCAAGCGCGAGAAAGTACGTTGCCCGCAAGAGGCGCACTGGGTGCCCGCGAGGTGCACGACAGTGTAGGCAAGACCAGAAGAGCCACTTTTGCCTCCTCGTCGATGCTTCCGCTCCTCTTGCGCCCTGTCGCCGCCGTCGCCGTATGAGCACGCCGCATGCCCGGAGTCTGCGCAAAACGCCTGCTCACTGCCGTCCTGCAGAGCTGCAAGCTGTACAAGATGCAGGACAGCGGACGCGCAATCTGGCCCCCTGCAGCTCGAAGCCGCGCTTGTTGAAGGTTGGTCGCGCCCTCCCTCCATCCTCCCCGTCTGAACTCGATTCTTGTCCTTTTTCTCTCGTCTAAAGCGTGTCCCGCGGCTCTGGATTGCCCTCAATGCATGCGCCCAAGTTTCACGGCCGCCGCATTTGTAGCTATAGGGAACTAACAACGTTGCTGCCCCTCTAAGTTCCAGGACATTTTGATGCCCCCACAAAGGTATGTCGTTCTTACTCATGTTCCTGTCTGCTTTCCTTCATCTAAAGTGCGTCCCATGGCCTGGACAACCCTCGAGGAATGCACATAGATGTCAAGTGGGCCAATGTAATGGTACTGTCGCCTGAACGGATCAAGGACCTCGCTTCGCAGGCGGAACTTATTCTGACGCGATTTGCAGAAGAGATCGATCGCGAGGAATTCGTCGAGGATGCCGATTGCTGTATCTACCTCGCGAATAAGCTCCAACATAATTGCGTCCGCATAACGGCCTGTACATGTTCCACGAACGACTCTTGCGAATACATCGACGCGAGAGAGTCGCACGAGTACGGGGACAGGAGTGCGTGTAGACGTGGGCCGCACATCCACGGACATTTGCGGCACGATCGGACTAAAGTCAGGCTCTGCATGCGCAGGAGTGTGGACGCCGTACCGTTTCGTGTTTGCGATCGAGGCCAATGGAGAGCGTATTAGTGCGCTTGCGGCACCGAACGCGGGGCTTGCAATTGTCGTCAGGGATGATGTGGACGCGGACAAGAGGTGACATGGATGGCAGTCAAAGCTAGGAAACGGCACTTGTAAAAGAGCCTGCGTATGCACAAAGGACTTTGCCTTAAGCTTCGAAATCTAGACGCGTTGGCGAGGAGTACGTGTACATGTTCGAAATAGTTTGAACGATGCGGGACTTGCTCAGTTAATGTTCAAGATCTAGATCTGACCTCTTTCATCCGGCCATCAGCTGAACTTCCTAATATGGACATTCAAACCTCACTATTATCCGGAGCGGCAGGGCCCGGGCCCATCCGACCATGGCCATCGACTTGAACTTCCCAATGTGAACATTCAAACCTCGTCACATGGCCAAAGATCACGACTAACATTACATAATTGCGAGCGCAGCGAGCAATTCTAGATCTTCACTAACATGCATGATTGCGGCTGGTCATGGCCGGCAAGCGGCGGGTCACAAATAGAACATGGACAAGATTTGATTCA